TAAATGACTCAAATTTTCTGTTCCCTTTTGCTAACGAACAGATTTCAGATCAATGTAAACATTCATCATATGCATTTTGGTCATGGGAAAATTTAAGTCGTCAATTATCTCCATCATCTTGTCCTACAAATTTAACTAATTTAACCTCATCGTAATCATGGGCTTATGGTTTTATTAGCAATGCGAAGCAACCATATCTTTACCAACAACAATACTCGTCTTCAAAATACTACTATGTTGTTTTCTATGAAGATTATCAATCGTTAAATATTAAACTCGACTATATAAAAATTACAAATTTAGCGGGAATTGCGATTACAGACATCACCAAAGATTCGAAAGATTTACAATTGACGAATTTTATTTTGGGAATTCCACCAGATAACCCTTCACAATCTTCGCCCAATACAGGCGTAATAGTGGGTTGTATAATAGGCTCCATTGTTTTTGTTAGCGCATTAGTAGCTGTTGGCATCATATTGTATCGAAGAAGACACGGAACAAACTTGTCTAATTCACTTAAAGATACAAATAATCAGGCTTACTCCGATATAAATCCTCAGCTTTATTCGGGTATAAATCGTCAGGTTCGTCCAGATATAAATAATCGAATTTACTCAGATACAAACCATAAAGTCTCCTAATTCTTAAAATGGTGAAATGTGCATACTTTAAGATTTATATTATTAAATAAGTGTCTAACATGAGATTGGCTACACATGAGACAAACTCCCTCTATAATTAGCAACTTAATAATAACTCCAGATATAATGAACCATAAATTTAATTTTCTTTCTAATTTTATTGTATAATAGATAACTCTGACTCAAAATTCTTTTAATAAAACAACGTAGCCTGCAAGAGGAGCTGTCGTGCAAATTTTGCTTTCATCACTTTTATAGAAATCATATAACAGATAAAGCGAGTACCAAGTACGTTGTGAGAGTCGAATTTACCATAGATGGTAAAGATTGGTGCCGGTGTAATACCAGGTCGATTTTCAAAATTTCGAAAATTTTGAAAATTTTGTAAATTTTGTAAATTTTGAAAAAAGGGTAAACCAACAAAATTTTGAAAAACGGCAAAATTTTGAAAAACGACAAAATTTTAAAAAAAGAGTAAATTGTTAAAACTTATTCGATATGTAAAAATAAGTATATAAACGCTTCATATTTACCGTCAATAAAGATAACTCTTGGAGTTCCAAAAACTTCGAAATACGAGTAGAAGTGTTTGTCCTTAATCGTCGTACCCCTTTTATTCAATATCGTTCGTCGATTTTGTACTTTTCTTGTCCCTGTGACCATTGCAAATTGTATTGTTGAATTTATGTAAAACTCTTGGGAGTTCAAAGTTCAAAGTTAAAGAAATCAGAGTATTTAACTTGTGATTCCCCCCCGATAAGTAAAATCTGTGAAAACGATTGGAATTCGTGACCAAATGCATATGATGAATGTTTACATTGATCTGAAATCTGTTCGTTAGCAAAAGGGAACAGAAAATTTGAGTCATTTA